AGTAGAAAATGCTTACAAAAGCTGTTTTTTGTACGATAACGGTTCCGGAGATATTCAAAAAAAACGATTTTTTTTCTAAAATTTCAACACCCTGTGTCTCGAAAATTGTGCATTTTAGAGCGTAAGTTAATAGCGACTTTTTTCATCTTTTTGGATGAGCTATCACATCCTGAAGTCCTGCGCATATATTATGAAACACCCTGTATATATATATATATATATATATATATATATATATATATATGTGTGTATATATATATATATATATATATGTGTGTATATATATATATATAATATTAAAAAGTTAAAAATTGTCTATCTACTCCTATTGCATAGGATTGGATCGATTTCAATATTCACTGTGATTTGAACCAATCGGGTTTTAAATTGGGAGAAGGCGACTATAATAACATTTAAAATTAGTAAAAAGTAAGGTTAACCATGGACAGATATCAGATTTTATTTAATTATTTTTGAAAATTATTTAATAATCTACTTATTGGAGTAGATAAAGTATTATTACACTTGAGATTATGCGCTTTATTTATTCGGATGATTTAAGTCTCTCGTCTGGTGACTCGAGACGCAAACATCATCCTCGTTAATAATAGCGTGCATTATCTCTCGTATAATAATATACTATTTGTATCTTATTGTAGGTTTATTATTTAAACAGGCAGTGCTCCTTAAAAATAAATATATTGTTAACAAAAAGGATTAAAAGTAAAAATAATATAAAGTGTCCCAAAAATGGCGCACTATCGCCATTCAAAATTACATACATACCGCCATTAAAACGTATGTACTATTGCGGCCGATAAAAAGTAATCGACTAATTTTCCCGTTGTAAATATGGTTGTCACCAGTGACATTTCAAAAATAATTTTATAAAATGAAGTAACGTCATCTTAAATTAAGTAAAGTCATTATTTAATTATGCCTTACCATACTTTAAGTGAAGCAGATAAAGGCTATATTATCGCCAAAATTGGAGAAGGATGGTCTCAACAACAAATAGCAGATGAAATAAACTGCAGCAAAAGCACTATTCAAAAATTAAACAAAAAGTGGGTGGAAACTGGTCACCTGAGTAAGGTAATGGGTTCTGGGCGTCCAAGAAAGACAACTCCAGTAAACGACAACGAGTTGGTTGAATATTTGAGGCAAAACCCATTTTCTAACTCCATTCAAGCCAAAGACTTCCCAGCATCTGTTAGGACGGCAAGAAAACGGTTGCGACAACAAGGTTTATTAACTGCGTGAGTGCTAAAAAGCCTCGCTTGACGGATGGTAATTAAAAGGTAAGAGTGGAGTTTGCAAATAATTTTTTAAATCAAAACGCTGAATATTGGGAGCGAGTAGACTTTTCAGATGAAAAAATATTTCAATCCTGCTACAATGGGCAACTGCGAGTTTATCGTCCCAGAAACCATAAATTTGATGAAGAATACCTCCACAAAACTGACAACAGCGGAAGATTTTCTGTCCACGTGTGGGCGTGGATATCATCTTCAGGGGCTGGTATAATTCATATTGTAGAAAGCCGATTCGAAAATATGAAGAACAGGTGCAAATTACCAAAAAGTTGCAAACTGAGGTAAATAACCTAAAGAAACAGGTTAACATTCTTGAGTTGCAAAAAAACCAAGCCGATCAGAATAGTTTAAAGAACAATGTCGTCATAATGGGAGTTCCCAGCTCGAATGATAATGTTAAGAATATTGTACTTGAAATATCCAAATCATTGGGTGTACCTAGTGATGTAGATAGGGTAAATACCCAGTGGGTAGGTAAATAAAATTTGGGTAAATACCTGGGTAAATACCCAAATTTTATTTACCTACCCAAAACTGGGTATTTTTGATAAATGCGTTATTATTTATACTTTAAATAATATTAAACTTCCCTATTAAACCATATAAACATAAACGTACTAGAATTGTCTCTGAACGCACTTAATTGTTGAAATGCACACATAGACCAGGGTCGATAATTTTTTTTTCAAATATACCCCAAAATTTTTGTTTTTTAATGTACTATTAATTTTTCAACACCATTAGAAAAAAAAATAATTTTAATTTTTTTGAAACACCCTAATGTGTATGTTATTTTTTTGTTCATTATGCATAATTAAATAACACTGAAATCATTAAATTATAAAGAAATTATCAGTACTACTACAAAACTGATGTATTTCGTAACTTTAACCCACTTTACTGTATCCCCTAATTCAGTTTGAAAACCAGTGATGTTTTTTTTTTCAAATACTTCGCACTTCGCAAACTCGTTAAATAGGTATAAGGAATCCGAATAAAAATAATAACAGATTTTTGGTAACATATTATAAACACTGGACAAAATAAAGTAAGCAGAAACATAAGTTGCAGACGCTAAAGTCAGTTGAACTTGTTGATGCGTATTGTCAGTGGGAAATGTTTAGATTGACTGCCTGAAATCACGTGTACTTTTTTAACGAAATAATTTGTTAAATATTAACAAAATAATATGTAATCTTTAAAATTAACAAAATGCTTTCAAAATTTCATATTACCTTCACAAAACTCGATAAATACGTATTTTTAAATAAATAAAACTATTTATTGATTTCAAGCTATTTTTATGCAAGACTTAAATCGAAATACCCCTATAAATATCCTATTTGGGTAAATACCCGGGTAAATACCCTATTTGGGTAAATACCTGGGTATTTTACATCACTAGGTGTACCAAGTATAAATGAAGAAGACCTTGAGTGTTATCGTGTAGGAAAGGAAGACGAGAACAAAACTCAAGCAATAAAAGTAAAATATGTAAAAGAGGAACACAAAAATAAAATCATGCAATCAGAAAAGAGAAAATATTTAACTACAGAGGATATTGGCCTGTCAACCAAAAGCAAAATCTATATTAACAATGAACTAACCAAACTTAACCAAGAAATCTACAAAGAAAGCCGTCAATTCAAAAAAGACTTCAACTACAAATTCGTCTGGAATAAAAATGGAAATATCTACCTGAGGGAAACCGAAACCAGCAAGCCAATTATAGTCAAGTCTCTTGATACAATAGAAAAATTAAAAAACTAATCTATGCCCTAAAAGTTACCTATATCAACATAAGAAGCATCAGACACAAATGTGAAGAAGTAGAAATAATTTTGGCTGAAACAAAACCGGATATTCTTATCTTAACAGAAACCTGGCTTTACACAAATGAGGCATTAGCAGTAAAATTCAAAAACTATAACACAATTCATTCTTGTCGCGACGATTCAAGGGGAGGTGGAGTGGCAATATGTATTAAAAACACATACAAATTCGAGACCCTTAGTAATATAAGTAACAACAACTGTATCGTTATAGAATTAAACAAACTAAACACAAAAATAGGTGCAGTGTATAGAAAACCAAGTGCTCCAAAAACTGACTTTATACAATTTCTTGAATCTGACCTACTCCAATATAAAAAACTCTTACTAATTGGAGATATGAACATAAATATTTTGAACTCTGAAGAAGACTCTAGCAATGGATTCGAAATTATAAATGAAATATCCCCTTCTAAACCCACTAGAGTGGATGTACATACATGTTACAAATCAATTATTGATCACATCCTAACAAATATAAAGGTTGATTCAAAAATTGAACTCTACGATCATAACATCTCCGACCACAAGATCATAAATTTATCAATCAACGGCTCCGACAAATTTATTATTCCAAAATTACCAACTTCCAAAAACTTGAAACATATGTCCAGAACAATATACAAAATCTGAGAGAACCTAACCTAACATTTGATCACCTTATAAACATGATAACTACCGAAATCAAAAGAAACACATCTACAATTGCAAGAAAATATACAAGTGACATCAAAGAAGGATGGCTCACAAGGGAAATAAAAGAAAAAATTAAAGAAAGGGACAACATTTATTTACTATCAAAAAAATTTCCCACAAGTGATATATACAGAACAGAACTAAAAATACTTAACAAACAATTAAAAAACAAAATTGCCTACAATAAAAAAAACATATTGAAACAAAACTAAATGAACACAATGACTCAGCTGCAAAACGATGGAAACTTATTAAAGAACTTACAGGGATGATAGTTGAAAATAAATGCTGTGAAAAACTTATTGTTTCTGGAGAACAAATAACTAATAAACAAAAACTTGCCGAGGTGTTTAACAACTACTTTATAAATATAGTCAAGGAAATAATCACACAAAATAATTATCATTCACAACAAAACATAATAAATAACTACATACAAAAATCCTTAATGTTTCTCCGACCTACTACTCCTCAAGAGATTAACTCGATCATTCAAGGATTAAAGAGGAATGCTGCCCCTGGACATGATGAAATAAAAGTTTCCTTGATAAGAAAATTAGCCGAGCCATTATCCACAGTGATATCATTAGTAATAAATAAACACTACAAGACTGGAACTTTTCCAGACATTTTAAAAATAGCTAGAGTCACACCTATTTTTAAAAAGGGCCAAACGACGGACGTAAACAATTATAGGCCAATCTCTGTCCTATCAGTCTTCTCAAAAATATTTGAAACAACACTAAACAAACGACTCCTGCAGTTCTTACAAGAAAGCAACTTCATCTGTGAACAGCAACATGGTTTTCGTAGCAAGAAAAGCACCCTTACTGCTATAACAAACTTAATGGAAGATATATTTTTAAGTATTGATCAAAAGAAAACAACAATGATTATATTTCTTGACCTATGCAAAGCCTTCGACGTTGTAGATCATGAAATACTTCTTAGGAAACTGCTTTCAATTGGTATTCAGAATCAAGCTTTTAAAATATTTACTAGCTATCTCCAAAATAGGAAACAATTTACCCAGATCTGTGATAAGAAAAGTAATACTAGTCTAGTGTGTTCTGGTGTCCCACAGGGATCGGTCCTTGGCCCTTTACTTTTCTCAATATATATAAATGATATAACTAACTGTGATATAAAAGGCTCTATGACACTATTCGCTGACGACACTGCACTATTCTATAATGGTAATGAAAGGGAAATTTTCGAAGATGCTCAAAGAGACCTTATTAAAATCTGTGATTGGACTAGTCAAAATAATATTAAGTTAAATGAAAATAAGTGCAATTATATAGTATTTAAGAATACACACTCTTCACCAATAAGCCTAAGGATAAACAATACGCCAATAAGTGAAGTAAAACATGCTAATTACCTCGGACTCACTATAGACAATAAACTAAATTTTGAACAACACATACGTGAAGTTAAAAAAACCATCAACAATATGTGCTACTTTCTACGCAAAAATGTATTCCTAATGAATCAAAAAACCAAATTCCAGATCTACTATGCATTTCACACTTAACTTACCTCCCATGCATTTGGGGACAGGCCAGAAAATGTAATATTAAGGATTTACAAATTTGTCAAAACAAATCATTAAAAATAATATTTAATAAAACATACTTGAAAACTGGTGTAATAGGAATTTCCTCTCTGTAAATCCTGCAAAGACGGAATTAATTCTATTTACCAGAAAAAGAAAACTTGGCTTCCTCAAAATGCCTAAGTTATTTGGAACCTGTCTGGAACTAACAAACCAAGTCAAGTACTTGGGAATAATTCTAGACAGCAAACTTAACTGGAGTAGTCATCTAAAGCACAAAATTCAGAAGGCCTCAGTGGCCTTCTGGCAGTGTAGAAGGACTGTCGGAAGGACGTGGGGACTATCCCCAAAGATAGTTCTCTGGTTATATACGGCAGTCATTCGACCAATGTTGTGCTATGGATCTGTCGTTTGGTGGCCCAAAATCAAACAAACTACTGCAGCAAAACAAATAGAGCATGTGCAACGGCTTGCATGTCTAGCTGTTACAGGCAGCATGCGCACAACTCCAACCGCAGCCATGGAAGCAATCCTGAACATCCCCTCTTTGGATCTGTTCGTAGAGGAGGATGCACTGAGATAATCTCTGAGGCTTTCGACCACTAAAATGTGGAAAGAAAATATCTCTAGCAAACGTCACACCTGCATCCTGGAAAAGAATGTCCGACAGACACCTATTCTGAGTGCAGTGCGCGACCAGATTGTGCGGAGCTATAATTTTAATACTCCCTATCAGGTGTGGATAAATGGACACCCAAATACCTCGCCTGATCTTTCTATCTTTACAGATGGATCCAGAACCGACTCAGGCTCTGGAGCTGGAGTATATTGTCAGAACCCATCCATACGCCTCAGTATATCATTGGGTGTCTATGCGACCATATTCCAGTGTGAAATCACAGGCATACTGGAGGCTGCTCGTAAAGTAATAGAGCTCCAAATACATGGAAAAACAATAAGAATCTCCTCAGATAGCAGGGCCTCCTTGCTGGCCTTGAGTCACAATATAGTTGACTCGGGACTGGTAGCGGAATGCATTGCTGCTTTGAAGCTGATAACGATTAATAATGTCCTAGAACTAGTATGGGTTAAAGGACATAATGGTAATGAAGGAAATGAAAAGGCTGATGAACTGGCAAGACAGGGATCGGAAAAGCTGCCAGTGGGCCCTGAACCTGTCCTGCCACTTACGAACTCAACCTTAAAAGTCCAGATAAAAAAACTAACCCATGAAAAACAACTAAGAAGATGGGTTAATCTAAGCTCATGTCGTCAGACCAAAAATATTATCACTAATCCATCTGACAAGCTGGCCAGGTACAGTCTACAGCTATCTCGTCAAAACCTCTCCGACCTTGTCGGAATTATAACGGGACACTGTAGACTAAACAAACATCTTCATACGATAAGAAAAGTAGACAGTCCTCTTTGCAGAGCCTGTAACTGGGGCGAAGAGAATGTAATACACATTATTTGTGAATGTCCTGCTCTTCTCGAATTCAGAAAATCCACTTTAGGAGAAGAATGGGTTGATGCAACCAACATTAGCTCCATCTCTCCAGCCGTCTTTCTAGATTTCTTTCGGAAACTCGGATGGCTGGATTAAAAAATTTGAGCAAACACAAATGGGGAAATGGATCTCGGGGGCAGTACAAAGGGCCAACTGTGGCCTAAGTGCATGTAGCCACAATGTGGCTACCCTCCACCCAACAAATCCAATCCAATCCAATATTTAATAAAACACCTATGGCAAACACAATAGAAATGTACAAAGAACTTAGAATACTTCAGATTCAGGAAATCATTAATCTAGACTCCATGATCTTAGTGTACAAAATAAAAAACAATATTTTAATTACCAAAATTAAGCTGCAATTAAACTGTGACTTACACGAACACAATACCAGGATCAGACAACATTTCCATGTGGTACCAAATTCTTCAAATGTGGGAAACAAGAAGATCTCCTCTCAGGCTATGATATTGTTTAACCAACTACCAGAAAATATTAAAATGCTTACATCCTTAAACTTATTTATTCTTAATTTAAAAAATTATTTGTTCTCACTGAGAACTTGACATGTATTAATATATATTCTTTAATTTATACCCGTTGTAGATGCTTCTAATCTTTTAGGGTTTAATAAATAAATTTAAAAAAAAATGAGTGGAACAATTTGGAAGAAAATTACGATATGCAAAATTTAATTAGTTCCATGCCTAGGAGATTACAAAATGTTATAAAGAAGAATGTTGGTTCTACCAAGTATTAATTATTTTTTTTTAAATGGAGTTTTTATAGCATTACAAATCAGTAAGATTATGTAAGATAATGCCCGAGGGAGGCTGAATGAAAAAATTGCCAGGGCCGGTTTTTCTGAGCCCATCCAACCCTGGTTGGCTCATCTTTTATAATTGTTATAGTCGTAGTATACTATTTCTTTTTAAGTTTAAATTTATTTATTTTGGTCGCCCAATAAATAATTTGTTTTTTTTGTTTGTATTACGAATAAACATGCTTTACATAATTTAAGTTTTTTTTATTAAAAAATTAAATATGTCATACACCTATGATTTCTTGTCAAAATAATTTAATTGACATGACTGACGTAAAAAACCCTACTTACAATAGCCAATTTTTAAGAAAAACATGCAACTTGATAAAGAATCGATTACTTATCGGCCGCAATAGTACATAGGTATTACATAATACTTTACGTTTGTGTTCTTACTGTTGTTATTGAAACAAAATTAAAAAAATCTGACGTTAACATGGTTGACAGATGTATTTTCTGACAGTTTGTGTCTAAACAAATATATATTTGCTATAAGGTCATATTTTCTATATTGGGCCAAAAAGGAAAAAATACCCAAACAAAGTAGGTTCTTGAAACCTTAAGAGTCATTCTATCATTTTTCACTAAAAAATTGAAAGCTGACCCTGATAGCACACTTTATTCTAAAAATGTTTTTTAAACCTTCCAGTGAAAATATTCTTAGGATCATGCTATATTTCTTCTAAAGAACATGCTTAAAAGAAATATAGCATGATCCTAAGAATATTCTTAGTGGCCTATAGGCAGGTTCTTAGAAGGTGCAAAGTTTTAGTGGTAAAAATAAGTCTACTCTAAACATATGAATGTTAAGAAAGTAATTTAGGAATATTCCTGTTAAGCATATTTAGTTCAGTTACCTATATAATAGTAAAATATACCATAAACTACGTATAAAAGTATACTTATACCTACCCATACTTAACTTCCTAATCAGTGGCGGCTGGTGGATTTTGGAACACCCATATCTCAGTTAATAGACATGGGACCCACATCAAATTTATATGAGTTTACAAAGACATTATATATACAAGTTCTGCGCAAGCAGAATTTAAATTAAAGTTTGCGAAAAAAAGTTAGTTTTTAAGTGTGCCCCCCCCCCAGCCTCCTGCTCCCCCAAATTAAGATAATTCAAATTAAAGTGGTACAATATTTAATTCACTGCAGTTTATCGACAAATTTCAAATTTTATTAAAAAATTTCTAGAATTACAGGTTTTATACCATTTTAAATTTTTATTATTTCTTAAACTAAATTTAAAACAAAATAGAAATGGCATAAAATCTGTAATACTTGAATTTTTTTAATAAAATTTGAAATTTGTTTGATAAACTTCAGTGAATTAAATATTGTACCACTTTAATTTGAATTATCTTGATTTGGGGAGGCAGGAGGCTGGGGGGCACACTTAAAAACTAACTTTTTTTCGCAAACTTCAATTTAAATTCTGCTTGCGCAGAACTTGTCTATATAATGTCATTATAAACTCATATAAATTTGATGTGGGTCCCATGTCTAATAACTGAGATATGGGTGTGCCCAAAATCCACCAGCCGCCACTGTACCTAATTAGTAATTAGTATTAAATACTAAGTAAAAAACACATTATATTTTTTTAAAGTTATTTTTTAAATTAAAACAATATTCGATAACAAAAATACTTTTACCATAGGTATTTTATTTTATGTTAAAAATAAATATTTATTAATTTGTATACCGATTTTTTATTTCTAAATTAACATTTTTATGTATAATAATCCTAACTATCTTCAACTTCAATCTAATCTGACATATCCCACAAAATTTTCCAATTTTACTTTTTATGAAACTTATGGTTTAGAGGTCAAATTATTTATTTAATATTTTTAAATAAATATATTAATATGTCGCAAAATTTTTTAAGAGGACGACAAATACATTTCACTGTCATATTATGACAGTAAGGCGTATTTGTCGTCTCCTGAAGAATTTTACGAATGTAGAATATAGAATATTAAAACGTGGGTATCTAACATATTTGGGAATATTCTCAAAAGCTTCCTAGAAGCTCCATAAGAATCCTTCTAAGAACATTCCAAGAACGCATTCTTTAAATGTTCTTGGAATGTTTTTTAAAAAGGTTTTAAGAAGCTTTTAAGAATCTAATTGCATCATTAAAAGGGTATATATTGAATGTTTTAAAAGTCCCTAAGAAGATTCTTAGCAATCTAGTCCTTCGGAGGGGACTTTAAGCCCGCGGACTAAAAGAGCACTTTTTGAATAAGGGAAGCTTCCAATATTCCATTATTCCGGGTCATATCTTAGAAGATTATTAAAATCAAATTTTGCTATCAGGGGACCTTATAAGATTTTCTTAAAACTTTCAGGGTGTGAAGAGCAATGCTTAGGATGAACAAAAACGACAATAATATTTTTTTTAATTAAACACCCTGAGAAAGTAGGCTATTTGCATAAAAAGTTAACAAATCGGTGTTTAAGAAAACCCTTTATAACTTAGTTATTTATTATTATTTTCTATCGCGTAATATTTTGTTAACAATTAATATTAAACAACGTACCTTTTAAATACCTATATGCCTAAAATTATACAAATGTTTTTACAAATTCAGTTTTTTTAGTGCTAAATTTACGCTTCTTTTAACTGAAAATGTCAATTTTCTACCATTGATATTATGTAGTAGGCTATGAAAATTTGATTTGAAGTATATTTTTATTTAAAGTTATTATAAATATTGAATAAAATATAAAATGCGAAATTATAAAAAAAGTTTCCAAATTGCAGGAACTACCATATTAATTATGAAAAATTCCCATTTTTGGCGGAAAAAAATTCATTTTTTCGCACGGAGGGACTGAACGAAAACTCTTCAAAATTTAAAAGAATGTTCTCCTTAATATAAACTAAAAACTGTAAAAAAAATTTTTTGTGTATTTGCCTTGCTAGAAATATACAACGGTTTAAAATATCACAAATTGTATATAATATGGAATTACTTTCATGGTATTTTTTATCAAGATGGCTTTGATAAAAAATGCTATTTAAAGGTGTTTAAAAAAGTAATATAAAATAGTAACAATTAAGCTAAATAAACATTAAATATTTATTTTATAATTATAATTAACATAATAACGCATACATTACGCTACATAATAATTATTAAGATTACAATACAAATATTGTTTGTTTTATTTTATATTAATTATAATTAATATAAAATAAAACAAACAATATTTGTATTGAAATCTTAAGGTACAGAATGATTACATATTAAGGACTATGATGGATCACCTATGTTATTTTTATTACTGTTAAATGATTTCAACCAATCAGATTCACTTATTTAATTTAACACAAGAACAATTTTGCTACTACGCCTAAGTGAATAATTATGTGTATTTCAGCAATACTTTTAACAGAGAACTTGTTTATTTTTATCGTGAACAATGCTTTAAATATTAACGTGTTACTGCATTTATAATACAAAACTATTTTAAAGGTAACGTTTATATTGTTTTTCTACACCTTATAAAATTTATTGGGTTTTAAAAGCTGCAAATTTTGTTCTTTTTAATATTTTTTATTTATAAAACAGTTTGATTCCGATCTCCTTCGAACCTGAATAATTTGTAAATTTGTAAGCACAAATGAATGAAAACTTTTTTAGTACAAGGATTAATTTTTGGTTGTTCTATTAACGTAACGGCAACAGTGTAAACTTACCTGTAGTATTTCTCTTAAATTTATTTAAAATATTTTAACAAAGTTCGGTTTTAAAAAGACATTACTGGGTGTATGTGTGACTGCAGACAGGGATCGGCTACTGTAGACATTGTAGTTCACGCGTATTGGGCCTTTCCAGTGCCAGTGTGACACCAATCCTGAACTTTCAGGTTAAATAACCTTCAAAACAAATCAACGTTATTTCTTACGAGCGCGACCACAGTGTTGCCGTTGTTCTCAATATCTCCCAGAAAATGCCGCCAAAAATTGTGCCGTGCCAAAGTTGCACACAACTCACCGATATCATCAATGATCTAAAAACTACTATCGCTCAACTAAAGGAGGAGGTTGCCTCCCTAAAAAACTCGATTAATGAATCCAATGAATCCAATAATGAATCTCAGCTCATCAACAAAATTGTTAATGAAGTTCTCGAACGTGAAAAGAGAAAAACTAATGTTATAGTATACAATGTTAAGGAATCTAAAATTTCCAGCAAAACTGAAAGAGATCTCGAGGAAAAAGCTACTTTTGCTGGGATTTGTAATGAAATCTCTTTGGATGCCAGCCTCATAACAAACATAACAAGGCTTGGAAAGTTTGCAACAACTGCAGATCGACCTCGTCCACTCAAGATCACTTTTAATAGAGAGGCTTGTGTCCATGAAGCTATTCGCAAAGCCAAACTGCTGAAGGACTCCACAAGTGACAACAAAAACATTCACTTTGCATTTGATAGAACACCTCTACAGGTCGATGAATACAAGAAGCTCAAAACGGAAATGGACAACAGAACAAAGAGTGGAGAAACTAATCTTTTTATTAAGTATGAGAAGGGAGTTCCAAAAATTAAGTCTTTAAACTAATGCTGCCCAACGATACAGAACCATACAGCCTTAGTATTTTTTACCAGAATGTGCGTGGCCTAAGGACAAAAGCTGGTGACTTCTTCCCTTCAGTTAGTGAGTATTGGTATGACCTAGTTCTTTTAACTGAGACTTGGTTATCTAGTGATATTAACAGTA